TTTTTTTTTTTTTTGCCTCACCTCGAGGCATGTGGGATCTTAGTTCCCTGACCAAGGATCAAACCTGTGGCCCCTGCAATGGAAGCACTCAGTCCCAACCACTGGACCACCAGGGAATTCAGTATCATCCCATTTTATAGATTAGAAAGATGAGCCTTGAAAAGGTTGAATAATTTACTAGCAGGTGGCAGAGATAAGGATTAAAATGGGTGGTCTGGATCCAAAGCCCATACACCATCCAGGCAATTTCAGTGTATCCCTGCCACGGTCCCACCTCCAACACCATCTGTGTCAATAGCCCACTCCCTCCCTCTGTCTATAGGCAGGAAGTGCTGACAGTAAGAAGCAGGACTCTGAGTTAGGCTGCCTAGGTTCAAATCCCAGTTCCATCAGTTAACCTTGGGACCATGATCAGGTCCTTAAACTGTCTGAGATTGTTTCCTCATGAAGGAAGTGGAAATACTGATAAGCACCCACTGCAGGGTGTGCTAAGGGTTAAATGAGACAATGCCAGCAAAGCAGTTAGCACAGTGCCTGGCACACAATAAATGTTTAGTACTTGTTAGCTACTGCTGATATCGTGGCAAACTTCTGGAACTAATTGCTGGAAATAATGGGCCAGAAATATGTATAATGAAGTGGTTATGAAAATAAGGCTAGCCTGGGACAGAGGGAAAAGAAGGTGACGAAAGTCTGTCAGCCTCGCTGCTAGCTGAAGAAAAGAGGCACTGAGAAGGCATGGAGGCAGAAATGGGGGCTGGGGTTTCAGAGGAGCTGGGTGGTGGGCTGAGAGCCTGGCCCCCAGCTAAAACGGCAACAGGCAGGGGAGCCTGGCTCCAGAGCAAACACTGTTTTTGCAGTAAAAAGCCTTTTCTAATGAGCCAATCTGTCTCTACTTCTGTTGGCATCCTGGGAACCAGGGTGCAGCCGAGATAATTTGCCTCATGCACCCTCCCTCCCCAACAAAGCACCATTACCTCCAACCCATTACATTAGCCTTTATCAGTCTTGGAAGCTCTCAGTCATCCTCCATGAGCTGCAATAATTTCAGCTAATTTCTTAAGTGTTCTAAGAGCCTGTGATGTGTTATGAGCCTAGTAATTGTTGACTGGTTCCTTTTCTGTTGTGGCTTGATTTCATACCTTGTATCCGAGCTGATGCGTGCTCTGGGTGCTTTATTACAACGAAGCTTTTTGCAAAAGCTCACATTAAAAAATAACATTAAGTACTGGGGTTGTTTTAAATCAGAGTTTAATTTTTCCACCATCTCCTGTTGTTCTTATTAGGAAGACACACAATTCTTCATAAAGATAGTGACCTCCATTATAAAGCTTTGAGCAAGTACAAAATTGAGAATTAATGATGAAGCTGATTATTTTTAGAGAAGTCCAAGAATGAGGCATAAAGTAATGAACTGGGCTGAGCCCAAAGGTGCAATGGTCATGGCACAGAGAAGCTTCGGAAATTGACCCCCAGCTTTCTTCACGCACCCTCCATTCATCAGCGCCTTTTACTCTCTAGAGAGCATGTCAGAGCCAAAGTGGCTGAACTACCCCAGAAGAGCTTCCTGGAAAACCATGAACATGCCTGCCACCACCAACCATGCCCCTACCCCTTCAACCTAGTGGCCCCTCTCAGATAAAGGATACAATTCAGCTGTTGGTCATACTGGGCCATAGGTGGTATCAGGGATCAGACACGGGATAGAAAACCACCCTGAAATTCGCTCTTTAACTTGTCGTACAGCTACATGACTGGCTCACGTTTAGATAAGCTGCTCAGGTCCATTGGCATCTTCTTATCAGCTGTAAGCAGGTGAGTTCTGTTCTAGCGAAATTCTGGGGTCTCAGTTGCCTACCTGGCTCATGGTATCCTTGACATTCACACCACATGGGACCTTAGCTTCTAGTTATCAGTGGGTACCTAGTAGCCCTCAGGATGGACCCAGAGGTGGTGGCAGCTGTGGTCCTGGTCTAGTTGCTCCTCCATCCCATGTTCTCCATTGATACTTTGCTAGTCAGCACCCTCTTGGTTGTGAATTACAGAAAACCGACTCATACTGGACCAGGAAAAAGTAGAAATTATTAGACTACTTAACTGAAATGTCCAGAGAGTGGAAATCCATATTTCAGGCCTGACTATATCCAGGGGCTCAAAAAATGTCATCAGTACTTGGTCTCTCCCTCTTTTTCTCCATTTCTCAGTATTTGGTCTGTCCCACTTTTCCTCCATTTCTCAGCTCTGTTTTCCTCTATATTCATAGGCCTCCATGTGTTGTAGTCCTCAGTACTCCAGACATGCATCCTTCTAGCTCAGTCACACCAAAAAGAGAACATGTCTTTCCCAAGCGTTCCCAAGAAAGTCCCAGGTTTTGAGCCTCATTGGACCAACTTAGGTCACATGCCTGGCCCCAAACCAATTACTACAGCCAGAAGGATGACACACCTTCACCTGCTCACCCTCCCAAAACCACATGGCTCGTGAGTGGTGGAGGGGTGATCTCCCATGGGACAGTTGAACTGCCCTTTCAAGAAGAAGAGACACAGATGCTGGAAATCCAAGCACAGGAAATGGCCATTGTATTTAACTTACGTATTTCCTTCTGGAAGGAAGAATTTCCAAACTATTGTGTCACTTTACCCACGAACATTTCCTGGGTAGGAGGAGTATATGAAGAAAGGTCCTTGAGATCCCTTAGAAAGGTTAGTGTCAAGGAACTTGACAATGTCTTATTTCTACTTTTCTATCCCTCTGGACAGTAATCGATATCTCATAGAATTTCTTGAGGTTGGAGGGGCCCTAACACTCTTGGAAATACTTGCACTGAAGAAGATCAAGGAGGAGGACAAGAAGGAATCCATCAAGCTACTTCAGGTTATCGCAAACTCTGGCAGGAAGTACAAGGAGCTCATCTGTGAAAGCTATGGTGGGTACCGCGTACAACGAGGGTGTCACTTCTGTCTCCATGGGGGCCGCCCCCAGCACCACTACAGGAAAACGCATCACGGACCTGGTTGCATAGGAAGCGTTCTGTAGGGTGGACTCACTTAGCTCCTGTCTGGATCACCACCGGAAGACCCAGAGTTACGATTTTCTTGATTTATCATTTGCTCAAATCTTTCCATGGTGGTTTTGGAAATACTTCGTTTCAAGGATATCCTCTTTCGTGCATCCATTCAACAAAGATTTGTTGAGCCATTTATGAATAACTCTAGAAATAAGATTGAACTAAAATCATTGAATATTTGTGCTAGGTATACACTAAGGTGCTGGGAACACAAAGATGAATAAAATACAGTCCTTGTCCTCAAAGAACTTACAGTGCCATGAGAAAAGGAAATAACCCGGTAATTTCAGTATGTCCCACCAAGTGGTCTGCTTGAGGTGTGCACAGGAGATGCCATCCCCCACGCATCCCTCTTTAAAGCACTTGCTCTTTCGTCATTTCTCCCCCATGGCCTCTCTGAACCTCGGTGTATTTATCCTAAAAAGGGACCAACACCTCCCTCTCAGTGTAGTTTCCAGGGCTAAATAAGGTAGTATTTGTCATATTTGTCATTTAGTGCTGAGCGCTATCTATGTGTTAGTTATCATACAGCAATCAAAAGTGCAAGTTTTATTTGTGCATTTTGCAGAACCATTTTAAATTTTAAAACAGATCTTGACAAGTTAACATGCCTATGTTGAAACAAAATCCCCCAGCCACCTAGGCACAAGGTGAAAACAGTAGCAATGCAACATGAGAACAGAGCCTTGATTTTGCTTTGACTGGACAGGCCTGGTTAAATACATCTTAATCCTATTACCTCATATTATGTAACCTTGAGTAAGGATTATTTTCATAAACCCCTTCCAATTTAGCATTTCCTCTCTCCTTTGCTCAGGTGTACGATCCATAGCAGAATTCTTGGCAAAGTCTAAGTCAGAAGAGACCCAGGAAGAAGTGCAGGTTCTGTTGGATTCTTTGGTCCACAGTAATCCCAAGTACCAGAATCAAGTGTACAAAGGTCTAATAGCTTTGCTGCCCTGTGCGTCCCCGAAAGCGCAGCAGCTGTCCCTGCAGACTCTCAGGACTGCCCAGGTGAGCCCAGGCTGCATGCTCCGGTGGTTCTGATTCCAGCTCAGTAATCTGACAATTACCTTCCACAGTTGCACTCCATGCAGGCACGAGAAACAGAGCTCAGCCTCCCACTGCATGTCTGCTGTTCCATCAGCGTTACTTCCAGGAGGCCAGGGCAGGGCAGAGAGTTCATGTCTCCCAGCAGAGTGATTTGTCCTGTTTACTTAAGGATCAGAAAGATGTTGGCAGACTTAAAAGTGGTTGAGACAAGCAGCAAGGATGATGGAAGGACCGTAGAAAAGATTAAAGGAGTCAGTTTGGTAGGGAAA